GTGTCCCTCCCGTGTCCCTCGCGCGTTCCCCCTCCCGCGTCCCTCCCGTGTCCCGCGTGCCCCTCCGCCCGTGCCCTCCCCGCGTCGCTCCCGTGTCCTTCCCGTGCCCCTCCCGTGTCTCTCCCGCGCCCCCCCCGCGCCCCTCCTGCCCCCCCCCCCCCTTCCCGTCCCCCTCTTGCGCGCGCTCCAGGAAGCTGTTGCAGTTGCAGCAGCGCGCGGCGGCGGAGCAGCACCAGCGCACGGCGCGGGGGCAGCACCAGCTGCTGCAGTTGCAGCACCAGCGCACGGCAGCACCAGCGCAGTTGCAGCACCAGCGCCAGCTGCAGCAACGACAGCACCGCAATCAACATCGCGCGGCATCCCGTGGCCATGGCATCAGCGCACGAACACGGAGGAGGCCGCCCTTCGCATCAGCCAGGCCGAAGCGCGAGCGCTCGATCGCCACCGCGGCCTTGACGCGCCTGCACCCCGCGTGCCGAAGAGCCCAGTGCGCAAGAAGCCGAAGCTCATTACGACGTCAAAGCACGGTAACGCAGTGGAGCAGGAGGACACGGCGACGAGAAGCGAGCCGACACAGCCCGTGCAGCTGGTCTTCCCGACGGCAGGCAGCGCATCAGCAGCGCAGCAGCAGCCGCAACAGCAGCTTCTGCCGACGCGCGTGAAAGCCGCGCCACGCATGGCGCCATGGGCGAAGCCAGGGCCCGCAGCGCCGCCTCCGAGGGCGCTGGCGCCTCAACCGCCTGCAACGCCGCTTCCCGCGCCGCCGCAGCCTGCAGCGCCGCCGCCGCCTCCGAAGGCGCTCGGCGCGCCGAAGCAGCCTGCAACTCCGCCTCCCGCGGCGACGCAGCCTGCAGCGCCGCCGCCGCCTCCGAAGGCTGGGGCCCCGCGCGCGCGCACCCCTGGCCCGCGCGGCTGGCGGGCTCCGAACGGAGAGCCGCGGGGGGCTGGCGTGGGCGGCGGTCAGGCGCGTTACGGCATCAGCGGCGGCCGCCATCGCGACTACTACCGCATGCTGAACGCCGCCAAGAAGCATGGCCCAGAGGCGCCCGCGAGGTTCAAGGCCAGCAACCCGCGCCCTCGCGAGGTCGAGGAGGCGCCGGCCTTCTACCAGCTTGCGAAGGCGAAGGTGCAGCCTGCATCGAAGCCGCCGCCGCCTCCGCCGCTGCAGTGAGGAGCTGCCGTGAGGTCGCGGAGCTGCAGTGGGGAGCTGCAGCGAAGCCGCTGCAGTGAGGAGCTGCAGCGAGGCCGCTGCAGTGAGGGGCTGCCACAAGTCGCTGCATTGAGGGGCTGCCACACGCCGCCTTTAATGGCGGAGGAGGAGGAGGAGGAGGAGGAGGAGGAGGGAGGTGGAGGAGGGAGGAGGGAGGAGGAGGAGGAGAAGGAGGAGGAGGAGGAGGAGGGGGAGGAGGAGAACGGTGCCCGTTCGCACTTGGCGCCTGCAGGCATGCCTCGGCCCGCCTCGGCCCGCGCGCAGCCTAGCCGCCTCGGCCCGCCTTTGCCGAGCGACCTGGCCGCCCCGGCCCTCGCGCGAATGCAACATGGCGTGCTCTTCACCTTTTTTCTTCAACTTCCAGCGGCCAGACCGCTTTGCCTATTCCGCATGCGCCTTGCCCCTCCTTCCCCCCTCCATCAATGCAGTTTTGTCCTTCCTCTTTTTCCTGCAACCCCTCCTCCTCCCACGTAGCGGCCAGACCGCTTTGCCTATTCCCCTTCCTCCATCTCCCCCCCACCAATACCAGCTTGCACCTCCTCCTTCTTCACGCGCCCCCTCCTCCTCCGACATGGCGGCCAGACCGCTTTGCGCGTTGCCGTCGCCATTCAGATAGCGGGCAGACCGCTTCGCGCGTTGCCACCGCCCTCCAGATAGCGGCGAGACCGCTTTGCGTGTTGCTATCGCCCTTCAGCTTCGCATTGGTTTCGCCGCGTGGTTGCATCTCGGCTCGATGGGGGCGGCCGAAGCCTCCGTTCCGCGGCCATCGCGTCAGCGGCTCGACCGCTCGCGAGCGCGCTTCTCGCCTCCTCGCCCGGCAGAGATGGCCGCCGACCACGAGCACCGCGCGCAGCGGTGGTTCCACGAGCGCCCGTTCCCCGATAACTGCAGCAAAGAGGCGTGGAGTCGCAAGTGGCATCGGTGCCAGTCGTGGGTTTCGGAAGACGATGCTCGCTACGAGGTCTTCAGGCAGCTGAAGTCTCGCGATGAGCGCAGGGAGGGCCTCGAGGATCTCGACGACGAAGGGATCTAAGCGCTGATCGATTCGTTGCCCATCGAGACTCGAATCATCAGCAAGCGCGACGACGAGTGCATCAGGTGGGCGCAGTGGGGGGAAGAGAAGAATGAGAAGAAGCGCCGAGATGCCGAAGACGATCGCCGCGGCCATAACAAGCGCCAGCGCGGAGGCAGCAACGCGGGAGGCATCTCGGAGCAGCAGAAGGGAGAGATTGCCGAGATTGTTGCCAGCAGCCTCGGGCTCTCAAGTGCTCCGCGCCCACTTGGACCTCCACCTGCAGTAGAGGATCCAGCAGCGGCACCAGCCTCGTCGAGCATGCCGCTGGCGTCGAGCATGCCGCTGGCGAGCCTTCGCCAGTCGCCAGCGGCGGTGGACAACGCCCAGGAGGTCACCATCAGCATCGGCGAGCTGAAGGCGCCCCAGGACGACATCAAGCGCTGCCCCCGCGCGTCGTCGCAGATCCTGCGCTTCCTCGATGGCGCCAAGGCTGCGTTCTCGAACGAGATGGTGGCGTTCAACGCGGCCGACGGGACGATCAGCCAGATCATCGAGGCGCACACGGGGGTGCACATGCGCATCGGCCGCGGCGTGTGAGGGCTGCGCCGCAGCTGGGCATCTGCGGCCTTCTTCCCCCCTCACAATCTCACCATCGCAATCTCGCAGAGGCAATCTCACCATCGCGATCTCACCATCGCAATCGCCTTCTTCGCTCCCGCAGCGCTGCGCCAGATGCCGATAAGAGCATCAGCTTGCAGGGGAGCACCGCCCACGCGAACGGCTCGCAGCACGCGCGCTCGACGCTCGAGCCGCGAGCTCGACGTTCTCTGCCGTCGAGCCGCGCGCTCGACACTCACGCTGGAAAGAAAAGACTGCGCTCCTCCCGCGCCCCGCCCGCGCCCCTCCCTCCCGCGCCCGTCCCTATGTATACCCCATTATGACACTCCCCCCGCGTCGCTCCCGTGCCCCTCCCGTGCCCCTCCCGCCCCCCCCCCCCGTGTCTCCCGTGCCCCTCCCGTGCCCCGCCCGCGCCCCTCCCGCGCCCCCCGTGCCCCCCCCGTGCCCCTACTCCCGTGCCCCCCCTGCCCCTCCCCCGCGCCCCTCCCGCGCCCCTCCCGCGCCCCTGCCGTGTCCCTGGATGTTGTCTGGATGTTGTCTGGGCGTCGTCTGGCGTTGTCATTTGTTGTCTGGTGTTGTCTGTTGTTGTTTGTTTTGTTGTTGTTGTTGTTTTGGTTTGTTGTTGTGTTTTGTTGTTTTTTTTTGTTGTCTGGCGTTGTCTCGCGTTGTCTGGGGTCGCCCGAGGCAAAGGCAACGCCCAGGCAACACAAAACAACATGTTGCTTTTGTGTGATAGTTTTTGTTGTAGGTTGTTGTGCGTTGTTGTTTTTTTGTTGTTGTTTTTGGTTGTCTGGGTGTTGTCTGGTGTTGTCAGGCGTCGCCTGGGATTTCTGGGGCGGAGGAGGGCGGGGGGGGCGGGGGGGGGAGGGTTGTTTTTTTCCGCGCGAGTTTTTTGAACAACAATCGGATGTTGTTCGTATGTTTTTGCAGATTGTCTCATTTTTTAGAAAAAATGTTTCCGAATATATATATATATATATATATATATATATATATATCATAGTTTGTTTTCATTTTGCGATTTCAATTTTGTTTTCAGGTTTTTCAATGTTTTTTTTCTCATTTGTTTCATATGTTTCCAGACTGTTCCCCCAGAATTTTGCCTCGGTTTTCGGGGGGGGGGGGGGGGGGCGGGCCAGCCGCTCTGCTTCGAATATTGCGAACGGCGCAGCCCCCGCACTCCTCCTCCTCCCCCTCCTCCTCCTCCTCCTCCTCCTCCTCATCATCCTCATCCTCCTCCTCCTTCTCCTCTTCAGCGGACGCGCCGCTTTGCTTCGAATATTGTGAAGGGCGCAATCCCCGCGCTCCTCCGCCTCCACCTCCCCCTTCTCCTCCTTAGCGGACCAACCGCTTTGCCTCGAATGTTGCGAACGGCGCAGTCTCCGCGCTCCTCCTCCACCCCCTCCTCCCCCTCGCGCAGCGGACCAACCGCTTTGCTATTCAATTTTGAAACGCAGTTCCTCCTTCTCCTCCTCCTCCCCCGTCGCCTGCCCCTCGTCCACGCGCTTCAGCGGCGCGACCGCTGCGCGCGATATCCCCTCGACTCAGCGGCGCTGCCGCTTTGCATTGTGATTGCTGCGCGTGGCGTGCGCCGCTCCATGCGCAGCCACTTGACTCTCCGTGCGACTCTCCGCGCTCCCGCTTCGTCGGCCGCGCGCACCACGAGCACGGCGCGCGTCGTCGGAAAGCGGCCTGCAGCGGCCGAGGCGGCGGCTTTGGACGACGGCGGTGACCAGCCTCCCTGCCGATGCCCTATCCTCGGGCCCTGACCGCAGCGGCATGACCGTTTTGCAGCGCCCCCCCCCCTCGCCCCTTCCCCCGCCACCGCCCTCCCCCCGAGGTGATTCCACTGATCCAGGAGACGCAGCAGCTGTCATCGCCAACGCGATGATGAGCACCTTGCCTTCGGCGGACGGCGCCCCGCCCAGCGTGCAACCAGCTGCGCCGCAGAACGCGCTCCGGTCGCTCTTCAGCAAGCAGCGACAGAAGCAGAGCCTAGGGGGCGCCAGCGCAGGCAGCCAGCAGCCAGAAGCGGGGGGCTGCGGGCCCGCCTCTGTCGGCCAGACCGCGAGCCAGCCCGACGGCGGCAACCCCGACGCCCGCGCGGAAGGCAGCGCAAACCAAAACAACAAAAAAAACGCAGGTGGCCCAGCCAAGGTCGAAGACACGGAAGAAGAGGTGCCAGCTGAGCAGGCAGATGAAGCGCAGCCAGCCGAGGAGGAGCAAGCTGAGGAGAAGCCACCTGAGAAGCAGCCAGCTGAGGAGGAGCAGGCACTTGCAGACCCTGAAGCTGGGCAGACGCAAGGTGAGATTGCGGAGCTGCTCGCGTCGCAAGAGCAACCGGCATGCATTTTGCGCAAGAAGATCTGCGATCCGCTTGCAAAGGGAATTCGGATCACCTACAACGGCACGATGATCACGTGTGCCAACTGCAGGGTGCGCGACCAGACGCTGCGGAGGATCTTCGGCGGGTGGCCGATTGCGGAGTTTGACGAGCTCCGCAATGAGGAGCAGGATGGATTCTACAAGGAATGCGGCTGCACCGCTGCCGCCTGCCGCGACGCAGTGAAGCATATGCTCATGCAAGTGCGAAGGAAGCGTATCACGGACACCCACAGTGGGCAATACTTGCCACTGTCCGTGTACGAGAAACTGGGCTACAACACGGATGACATCGAGCAGAAAACGGCAGCGGCAGACATCGAGGATCACCCCGTTCTCGGGAAGACGCGCCGAGTTGTGACCCACTCGATCTCTGGGGCCAGGATCAGGGAGGTCACCCGGCAGGAGGTGGCGAAGACATTGGGCCGCAATCGCAGGCGCAAGGCGGCAGCCTTCCCCGAAAGGGGCCTCAAAAGCTGAGGAGGGCGAGGAGGCTGCATGCGGCAAGCTGCCCGGGCAGAAGCCGGAGAAGAAGTTAAGTTCAAAGAAGCGCAAGAGCGGCAGCAGCAGCTCCAGCGATTCGAGCTCCGACAAGAAGAAAAAGAAGAAGGGCGCACAGTCAAGGAAGGGCAAGCGGTCCAAGAAGAGCAAAAAGTCCAATAAGGGCAAGAAGTCGAAGACGGAGGCTGAGGGTGAGTTATCGGGATCGGACGCGGGCCTCTCGCCAGAGGAGCTGTTAGCCAAGCGCAGGGCCAAGGTCGCAGCTGAGAAAAAGGCGGCCCGCGAAGCTGAGAAGCAGCAGGAGCTGCTTGACAAAGAGCTGGCCAAGGAGCAGGCCGCCCAGAAGAGGGAGGAGCAGAAGAAGCGCACGAAGGGCCTGCAGGTCGTTCACAAGGTGCTGGCGGCGGTGAAGCCGTTGCTGAAGAAGACGGCAACGCTGCTGGCAGATGATCGCTTGAAGAAGGCGTCAGTGAGGAGGAGGGGGGGGGGGGGAGAAGGAGGAGGTGGGGGAGGGCGGGGCGAGGAGGAGGAAGAGGATGGGGGAGGATGAGCACCCCCGCCCTTGCCAGGCGCCGAAGACGCACACGGGAATGTCGGGCAAGAAGCAGGAGTTCCTGAACGTAATTGCGAAGCACTGCAATAGCTGCCTGGAGGACGAGAGTATGATCCCAGAGATCAAGGAGAACGAGGTTAAGACTGCCGTCAGCTACATGGCGACGTGGATGAAGACCACGACCGCAGCGTTCGAGAGCTGCGCGTGGGCAAATTGATCAAGCGAGGGGCCTGACAGCGGAGACTCGGGGGCGCTGGCCAGCGCACTTCGGAGTAAGTCTCCAGCGTCGACTTCTGAGCGAGCCTGCCAGTGCGCAAAGCGGATGTAACCGCTCTCGCGTCGGATGAGGAAATCATTGCTCCTCTATGCGTCGGGCATGCAAGGAGCGCGTTGCTCCCGTAGCCGAACAACCGGCGCCGCGGATGCAAGCCGATGCTGTTCCATAGCGAAAGCGCATCTCTCCTCCTCCCCCTTCCCCTCCCCCATCCACCTCCCCCCTCTTCCCCGTCGCCCCCCCTGAGACCTTGCTGCCCCCCCCTCAAAAAACGCGACATAATCGCATCCTTCCCCCCCCCCCTTGCCCCCCCTTCGCTTCGTGGCCGTCGCGCCCCGAAGAGCGGTCTGACCGCTTTGCGCGCTTGCGTAGCAATCTTACGTGTTCGGTTCTTGCTTTCGTGAAATGCGCAGCGGTCTGACCGCTTTGACATGCTTGCGTGCTTAGATCAACCGGCCTTGGCCCAAACCGCATTGTTTGGATTAGTTCCAGGCCCAATGGATCGACCAAACACCGATGGTATACGTGAGGGCATTTCGAAGAAGTCACGCGCGCTGGCCCCGCTGGTGGCCCCATTTCGCGCGTCGGATTCTGCAAGCTATGACGCGGCGCGAAAGCTGAAGGATCAGCCCGAGTTGATGGGCGACCTTACGAAGTCGAAACTACAGCGCGCACACGAGGAGTTCGCTGCAGCGTTTCTCGATGCGCCCATAGAGCTGAAGCTGAACGACGGCAACTTCAATATGCCAGTCACGGACCTTGCCAGTTTGCTTCAGCACTGCGTTTCAGAATCGGAAAATTTCAAACGATTGACGTCAACCACTTTCAGCAAGAGCCCGCGCTCCCCTTCCACACCTTGGGACTTTGTTTTATAGTTCGACGAATTTGTGCCAGGGAATGTATTGAGGCAAGATAACAAGCGCAAGACATTGGCGTTTTATGCCAGCTTCCGCACGTTCGGCCCCGCTGCGTTGACATCTGAGGATGCGTGGTTCCCGCTCGCATTTATGCGGCATACGATGATCGATAAGGCATGCGGTAAGATGTCTGCAGTTGTTCGCCAACTATTGCGGCGGCTAGTCATTGGCCCAGACAGCGCGTCGCAGAGGGGCGTCCTCATTGATGGCATTGTGCCTGGCGGCGCCCCCGCGCTGACCTTTTTTTTTCAAAGTGCCGAACCTACTTTATGACGAAGATGGCGCTAAAAATGCATTGTGTTTAAAGGACGCGGCTGGCGTTGGCCCATGCGCGCTGTGCCAGAATGTCCACGGCATATGCGATTCAACGGAGACCCTGCTCTCAGCGTTCGACGCGACGGGAACATTGGTACCCATTTCTTGCGCGGACCCGAATCGGTTCGACGCGCGCAGCGCAGACGATTTGTGGCTCAGCGCTGATCTACTGCAGCGTTTAAAGGAAACTATATCCGCGGGCGCATTCGACGAGCAATGCAAGATGCACGGCGTTACCACGTGCCAAATGGTTTGCTATTGGACATTGAACTTCGCCAGCACGCGTCGCTGGATATGCACGCGTGCGATCCAGCACCCTGCATGATCATACATGGGATCGCCCAGATTGAACTGAACGAGTTGCTGTGCCGCCTGGCGGCCGTCGGCCTGACCTTGGACCGATTCAGGGGCGTCGCCAACGCACAACGGAAGACCTGCTCGGCATGTGGGCCGCTTGATGCAAACAGACTTTTCAGCGATGAGCGACAGAAGCAGTTGCGCAAGAGCAAAAATACACCGCTAACGCGAGTGATATAATATCGGTTCTGCCGCTAATCCGATACGCCTTGGATGTACTCGCCGACGGAAGCGCGCAGTTCAAGGCGGACCTTGCAGAGGAACTGGCGTCTTTTACAGCGCTGGCCCAATGTGTTTCGTTACAATTAGAAGCAAAGAGAGGCCCTGCTCAGGCAGATGATTGGGCCGCGGCTGCGCGCGACCACGCCCTACTGTTCGAACGCGCGCACGGGGATTGCAACTTGTACATCCCAAAATTCCATTTCTGCCGACGCTTGCCGCGGCAGGTTGCGAGGGGCGGCTTCGCCCTGGACACGCCGGTGACCGAGCGCCGCCACGACGAGTCATTGGCCGTCGCTGATAACATCGACAACGCCCGCACCTTTGAAACATCACTTTTGATACGACGTGTTGCTCTTCAGTGCTACAACGCAAAGGAGAAATAGTTGTCATTTGGAAATGGCTTGGTGAACAGCGTCAAGCACAACGAAGTTATGAGCATTTCGACGATGGTCGTTATTGGAGGATCTCGCGTCAAAGCTGGAGATATACTTCACTTTGGTGATGGGCGTCATTTTATCATCGGTGGGGCTGGAGAAGGCGGCAGCGTGGCGTTGATTGCCCACGCTTTGCAGATTGTCTGTCAGGTATCCCCCAGCGCCTCACGCAGGCGAAGGGACGGCGCCCCTCGGTTCCTGCGTCGCGACAGTTACAAGCCACAGGCGCTGTGGACAGAGGAGGCTCTTGGAACGTTCCTACTTGTTGATATGACATAAAAACCGAACTGCTGGTTTAGAGCGCTGATGTCATTGCAGGGCCAGCGCGAAGCTTGAAACAAAAAAAACAAAATCGCCACCGCGATCGCCATCGTCGTCATCGCTGTCGGAAGCGGCGCGACCGCTTTGCCAGGCGATGTTCTCCTCTTGTTTCATCTCCTCTTTCTCCTCTTCTCTCTTCTCACCCCGTCTTTCTCATTCTCATCCTCCTCGTCCTCTTCCATGGAAGCAGCGTTCTGAGCGCGATTCAAAGCATGATTTAAAGCGGCCAGGCCGCAAGTGCACGCAAAAAACAGCTCACAGAAGCAACGATAATCCGTATCGCTCTTGGGCTCGAGTTTTTTTTTCGAGACCGCCTCGACAGCTCATCCGCCTGCCGCGCCGCCTCCATGACGTCTGCCGCCAGAAGGCGCTCGCTCTGCCAGACCGTCAACGGTGAGGCAGGGACAATGTGGGTGAAGCAGCGCTGTGGTTCGTGGTGGTATCCAGTGTGCCCAGCGCGCTGGGCAGCCGCCGAATCGACGATTCCTAACTCGAGTTCGCGAGCATCACAGCGGGCAGAACAAGTGGAAGCTCCGAACAGCTGTCGAAGATCGACTCGCGATGGCGGCTGAATTAGGACTCTCTTTCTGCAATGCGCCTTTCTCTCTCTCTCTCTCTCTCTCTCTCTCTCTCTCTCTCTCTCTCTCTCTCTCTCTCTCTCTCTCCCTCTCTCTCTGCAGGCGGAGGGCCGCCTTCAGAGGCGCCGACTCAATTAGGTCCTTGCACGCGATGCATGTCTGGAATAGACTTCCCTATAATAGGCGGCTTCGCTCCGCTCTCTGCGAGGTTGGCACGCGCCGCTGGCGCCGCAGGCCTGCAGAAAAGGCTTGCCGCGCGCGCGCTAACGTCAGCGGGATGGCCGTTTTGCTTGTATCTGTGCATGTCTGCAGCGGTTAGACCGCTTTGCTACGCTTGCATGCTTATTCGTGTTTGCTTGCAGCGGCGTGTCCGCTTTGCTACGCTTGCATGCTTATTCAACGTATATATATTTTTGTGGGGGGGGGGGGTATCGTCGCATTTTTTCCACTATTTTCCAACAATCTTTATGATTTTCGATATTTTGTATAATTTTCACAATTTTCACTATGTTTCATTATTTTCACTATTTTCACTACTGATTGCACTATTCTGCACTATTTTCCATATTTTTCACTATTTGCATTATTTTTTTCATTATTTTTCGCTATGTTCCCTTATTTTCAATGCTATATGTTGATACGATTGTGTAGAACATAATAAGGGGATATGATGTTCTATAGTGTTCGCGTTCATCAAAATAACGCAGGGGTCTGGTGGCTCACACCCCTGGGCCTGGAACGGGCGACCTAGCACGACGACGGCGCCAGCGCGAGGACAGCGCTGCTGCAGGAGGACGCACGAGGACAGCACCAGCACGAGGACAGCACGAGGACGAGGACAGCACTAGCACGAGGACAGCACTGGCACGAGGACAGCACTAGCACGAGGATGGGGGAGGGGCGCCGAGGAGGCGCGCCGAGGAGGAGCGGCGAGGCCAAGGAGGAGGAACGCCGAGGAGGAGCGCCGAGGAGGAGCGGCGGGAGAGGGCGGCGGTGGCGGCGGCCGGGAGCGGCGGCGGGGCGGCACCTGCGACGGCGGCGGGCCCCTGCCCCGGGGCGGGCGGACTGGGGGCGGGGGGGCGCGCGCGGCGCGGCCCGCGGCGCGCGCGGCCCGCCCCGGGGCCCTCCTCGGACCCGAGGGCCCTGGGGCGCCGAGGAGGAGGAGGAGGAGGAGGAGGAGGATGAGGAGGAGGAGGAGGAGGAGGAGGAGGAGGAGGAGGAGGGAGGAGGAGGAGGAAGGAGGAGGAGGAGGAGGAGGAGGAGAGGAGGAGAGGAGGATGGGGGAGGAGGAGGAGAGGAGAGGGGGGAGGGAGGGGGAGGAGGGGGGGAGGGGAAGGAGGAGGAGGAGGATGGGGGGAGGAGGAGGAGGAGGAGGAGGAGGAGGAGGAGGAGGAGGAGGAGGAGGAGGAGGAGGAAGAAGAGGATGGGTGAGGAGGAGCGCATCGTTGCCGAGGCAGTGAGTCCCACGAGCGCCCGCCGCCGAGCACCTGCTGCAAGATGCGCGAGCGCGCGCGTCGCCCACGGCGGGCCGACGCGCACGGGCAGTCAGCAAACGGCGGCGAGCGAGGGGGGAAGCGCCGGCGACGGGGCGCCGTGACCGCCGAGGCACCGGGCATGTCCTCCTCCTCCTCCTCCTCCTCCTCCGCCTCCTCCTCCTCCTCCGCCTCCTCCTCCTCCTCCTCCTGGGCGTCGTTGACTGGGCGTCGCTCGCCGTCGCTCGGACGTCCATTCCCTGTGTTTTTTTTCGGTTTCGTGCGTGGTCTTTTCGCCAAATGATCAAGGATGCTCCTCGATGGTCCTCGCCGACGGTAAAATGCACACGTCTGAGCGATGCCAAGAGCGAGGAGGAGAGTGTATAGGCTCCAGCTTCCGAACTGGTAATGTATAGGCTCCAGTTCCCGAACTTCCCCGGACAAAGGCACCTCGCCTGGACGACGTTGGACGGATGGGCTCTTTTGAAGGGGCCCTGGGACACACAACTAAATACACACAAATCAAAGGATCCCCTACTTTTTTCATATTTTCGGGGTTGTTGTCTTTCCCCCCATTGCCCATAGTTTCCAATCTGTTTCCCATATTTCCCGGGGGAATCGACGATTAATTGTGTCTGTGTTTTTTCTCCCTCCTGAGAGAAGGCCTTCCCAGAAGGTTCAGAAGCCCCTCAGCTCTCTGAGACGTCTTCTAAGCCTCCCCCGAAGACAGAAGCACCTCTCAGAAGGCGCCAAGGCTTCTGAGAAGTCCCGCCGCCTTCTGAGATGGCCTTCGCCTTCTCATTTCCCCCCTCGCTCGCCGCCGAAATAAGACCAACCTTCAGGAAATCGATCGCAGGAAACCCAACCCTGAACATCGCCGACGTTTCTCGGGCCTTAATAGTGTCTTGCTCCGCGGCTGCCGGCGAGAAACCACAGGGTACCCTGGGCCAGGCGGTTTATAGATGGCTCGCGCTGAATATCTCAGCGTCCAGAAACTTGACACTCAGTGCACTCTGCCAGTTGTGATTTTTCTTCGCGACCGCTGCAAACCCTCAACACGAACACAAACCAATCCGGTGTATCCCAGCACGTCTGATGTTTTTGGCGGCGGAGGCGATTGGTTCCCTCCTGGGGGCCCGAAAACGGCCCCCGATGGCAAAAAAACGTCCCGAACCCAGAACCTCGAACCTCTTCCCCCCCCTTCGACTGCACGTGTGACCCTAGGCTGGAGTGACTTTGGGTGCGCGGCTTCAGAAGCGCCAGTGGGGACCCAACGCAACCGCGCAAGCCAATAGTTACTGCCGCGCCGCATCAGCGATCGGCAAGGCAAGACGCCACTCGAAAGCTTTTTTGCGCTGGCGGGCAACCGTGGAATTCCGCCGATTGGGATCGACCGCCCCGAATGGCACTTCGAAGGCGCTGCAAAAGCAGACGCTGCCAAGGGCCAACACGATGAGGTCTGGCACTGCCGGGCTGCATCGAGATGACGTCTGCCCAAGTCCAGCACCATGGCCCAAACTAGTCCCATCCGCGGCCCCGGGATATGTTCAACCTCTTCGGATAACTTGCAAGTGAAAAGGTCCCCATTGGTTCAACAAATGTTCAAACATATGAAACGTATTCAAGGATATCCAGAAATATTCGAAGATATCTCAAGACATTCCAACCGGACATTTTTGGATTTGGGCTGGGATTCGGGACTGGACCTGGGGCAAAAAACGTGCCGTCCAGTCCACCGGCACCCCTCGGGAAACCGATGGACACTGTAGGGTGCGCCGCGTATGCGTTGCTGTCGATCGCAAGGGGGATGCCCAAGCCTGGCGCGCCCAGATGCGAGCGCAATCACCCGATCCCGATACGGCTGCCAACGCGAGGTCAATCTGAAAAGAAAATCACCCGACCTTCTTGGGGCCAGCACCTAATGTCACTCCAGCCAAGGGTCACTCTTACTTCCTGGTGGCCGGAACCAATGCTGGGCCACCTCAGCCCCCCGGACGGCAGGGACTCCCACTGGTCCCAGACCCCAGACGTCATGATGTTCTCGCAACGTCGACCCCAAAGGTCTCGACCCAGTACCCCGGACCGGTGTCTCGTCCCGAGCCGTTCTTGGACGGTCCCGAGGCGCGGCACGGGCCCCCCAGAGGCCGAACGCAGGGAAACGCCTCCCGTCGTGATTTTTTTGTCACGCCTCGAAGGGGTCGGGGGCCGATGCCGAAGCAGCCCGAGTCCTGGCGGAGGCTCGCGGCGAAACTCGTCGGCCAGCCCGACGAGCGCGGGGGCGCGCGGGGGCCGCCCGCGCGCGCCTCCGCGAGGGCCTCCTGCGCGCGGCGCTGCCCGAGCTCCAGCTGGCCTCCGCGAGGCGCAGAAGCTCAGCCGCCCCGGTGCGCAACACGCATCACGTGGCGTACCGATGCGGAGCTCAACGCGTAGACTGAAAACGTAGGTCTGCCGCGATACCCTCGCCAAAACGTGGGCCAAGACGTCAAGCCAACACGCAGCGTATTGACACGGACGTCTTGAGCACGGCACATGTTGCGCATCAAAGAAGCAGCAAGCGCGCTTGTTTTGTACAATTCGCGATGACCCCAGACCGCCTCGAGTCATGATAAAGCCACGACGGCAAGCTTTTCGCTACGTTCGGCCTCTGGGGGCCTGATGATGAAGAGGAGGAGGAGGAGGAGGCGGAGGAGGGGGAGGAGGAGGAGGAGGATAAGGAAAACGGGACCGTCCAAAAACGACTCGGGACGAAAAAACCGTCCGGGGGAATGGGTCGAGACCTCTGGGGTCGACGTTTGTGAAACAAATCATGGCGTCGGGGTTCTGGGACGGCCGTTGCCGGGGGTGCTCCCCCTCTCTCGGGCTGAACTGCCCCCCCAAACCTGCCCGTGCATGCGGCCCCCTCTCAGAGTCAAGAAGACGCGAACCGAACGCGCCATCTCGCGACGAATCGCTGGGGGGGCCTTATGCCCGCTTGTGCGCTGACGCGAACAAGAAGATGACGGCGATGCCGGCAACGACGACGAAGACGACGACGGCGACGACAACAACAACGACACCGAAAAGGGGGGACCCCCCCCCTTGTCTGGTAACGTCACGCTTCTCGCCGGCGCCGTCTGGGAATGGCTATACGGGGTCATCTCACCAGCCCTCTGGGCGCAGGTGGGGGGGATGGGGGTTGGCGGTGGGGGTGGGGGTGGGGCTGGGGACAGGGGTGGGGATGTAGAGGCCTCCCAGATGGGGTCGGAGTAGATGGGGTCGGAGGATCGCGCCGCATCGCCGATACATCGACGATGCATCGACGATGCATCGGCGATGCACTGGCGATGCATCGTCGACGCCGACGATGCATTGGCGACGTCGACGTGAAGCAAATCAGGCTCCGCATCGAGCCGCATCGGCGATGTATCGGCGATGCGGCGCGATCCTCCGACCCCATCTACCCCGACCCCATCCAGGAGGCCTAGAGGATGGGGGTCGGTCCAACGACACCGAAAGCTTGCGACGCCCCCCCCCCCGGGCCGCACAGCTCCACCAGCAGCGCCTCCACCCGCGCGCAGTGCTCGCCGCCCTCCGCCGCGCCCCGCTCGCCGGCCGGGGGCGGCCCGCCCGCGGCCGCCCTCGGCGCCTCGCTCGCCGCCGCGAGCCGGGCCACCAGAGGGCCTGCCGGGGAACGCAGGGACAACGTCAGATCGCGGCACGGTCCGCCCGCGTACCCATGGGACGCACATGGACATACTAATACTACATGTCCTCCTTGGAGGCGCGCGTCCGACCCGAATATGTAGTATACCCATCTTGTAGTATATCGTTTCCCGAGCGGTGTGGCCAGAAAGCGCACGCCACGACGCATATACTATGAGATTTCTCGGTGCGCGCGTCGCCCCTGGGGGGGCGACGCACATATAGTATAAGTATGTTGGGGTGTTGCCGAGACCTCCTCGCGCAAGGAGGATAATCGCGACGGGAGGCCTTTCGCTATGTTCGGCCTCCGGCCTTCTCCCGGGGCCTCGGGGCCGCCCGGGGGGAGAGAAGCGCAGACGCGGAGAGGCCCCGCAGGAGACTCCTCTCGGCCAGCCGGGGAAAGGCCCTCGTCGTCGGTCTCGTGATGGGCGAGGCATCCTAGCTGTCTCTTCTGCGTATATTGCTTCACGCCCCGGCGCAGGCCCTCCTCCCGCTCCCCATGTTTCCCCCATCCTCGCCCTCCTGTTTTTTCGCGCCCCGTCACTGCCTCCTGCCTCCCCTTGCTATTGCATGAGCGCGCATGTCGATGTTCCTCGGCGCCGTCGCCGCCTCGGCCAGCACGGGCGCGTTCTCAAATTGCCACGTCGCGCGGCCGTTGGGACAGCCCCGCGGGCCAGGACGTCGGGGCAACCGCGCGAGCAGGTGGCGCGCAGGACCAAGCCGTTGGGACAACCCCGCTAGCTTCGAGCGGGGCGCAGACGCAAGCTGTTCGGGCTTGTTGGGATTTCGGTGACGCCCCGGACCGAGAGGGAGGGAAGGAGGGAGGGCGACGATGACGACGGGGCTACTCACATACGAGGCCCTGCTCGATGCTTCCTGCAAATTCAAAGCCTGACGAGCCCAAAAGTGACGACGGTTACAGGAATTGAATGACCCGCTCGGATTACCAACGGAGCCCGAAAGTGACGACTGTTACAACGGAGCCATGACCCACCTCGGATTCGAACGTGAAGTCCGGGCCCCTTAGGGAGGGGGCTCCCGCCTGAGACTTCCTCACAAGCGACTCACAGACTAGGCTCCCGCCTGGTACCTCCTCCATATTTAGGCCTGAGTATTGTGAAGGCGATGTTGCGCACAGGGCTGGATGTCCGAAAATGGTTCCAGAATGGTCGCCCGAATGGTTGCCAGAATGGTCGCCCAAAAAAAAATGGTCGCCCAGATGGTCGCCAAAATGGTCGCCCAAAAATTGAACGAAATAAGATAGTAACCCAAATGGTTGCCAAAATGGTATTTTCGATTAAGTTTCAAATCGATCCGCTACCAAAGCAGTGTTACACCGTTGTGCCATGGCGGACGTCTCCGAACATCGAGCCCACAAGGGTTGGAGGCGAGGACGGGCGAGGAGGAGGAGGAGGCCAGGCAGGAACAGGAGGAGGCAAGGCGAGCAGGGCGCATCGCAACGGCGGGAAAAGGGGCAGTGTCGGGCTGCCTCCTGGTCGCCGTCGTGCGCCCAGCCACGCGGCGGGACGGTGGGCCCTCCTCCCCCCGCCTTCCCTCCCCCTCTTCCGTAACGCCCCTGCCCTTCTCCAGACTACCTCCTTTCTTCCCTCCCTCCTGGTCATTCCTTCTGCCCCGTTCCCCCTTCTCCTCCTTCTCGTCCTCTCACTCCGTCCACTTCCCCTCCTCCTCCCCCTGTCTCCTCCGCCCCCTCCATCCTCTCCTCCCTACCTGCCTTTCCCATCCTCCCGTCATCCCCCCGTCCGTTTCCCTCTTGTCTAAGCCCCCTTATTTCACTTGAGGCGTGGAAGGGCTTCAGTCGCAGTCCTCGCCGCAGAGGCGATGAGACATTCCAGCTGAAGGGGTAGGCGAGGGAAGGCGAAGGCACGAGTAGTCAGAGGAGGAGGGAGAACACGGAAGACGGTGGAGCGAAGCACGAGAGGGAAAGGACGAGGGAATTCAGACGATGAGGAGGTCAAGGATGATGAGATGATGGCAGTGGTTATGATGATTATGCAGTGTTGTGTTTGTTTGTGTCACTGCGGTTGGGCAGGCAGGCGCTGGAATCGAAAAGCTCGCGTGCACCATAGCCCTCCCGATCGTCGTGCGATGTTGCCTGCATTACGTGCGCGGCGTGCGTGCCGCTCCCCCTCGTCGACCCACCTCTCATGAAGCACAAAAGCACACTGGGGCACGCTGCGCAACCGCTCGCACCCAACCTAAGCGCAAACATAACAAAGCAGCTGCAAACAGGAATCGCAGCATCTCGAGCAACTCGCACGTTCCTGCATCCAGGCTTCTACTTAAATATGAGGCTGGCGAAACTGCTGGCGAACTGCGTGGGCATCCCACAAGAACTCATCATTTCTTGCCCTGCGTGACCTCCTCGACTTTCGTGGACAGCGGCAAGGGCAACTCACCGTGAAGCGGCTCGGGCAGGAAGGACATGTGCGATTTGACGTTGCGCTTCAGCTTGAGAGGCTGGTCAGCGAAGTCGCGAAGGCAGATGAGCAGCATCCCTTCGCAGTACGAGATCCTCAGGCGGTTGAGCACGCCCACCGCTGTCGCCATCTTCTCCGCGCGACCCTCGTCCACGTCAAGGTGCATCTTCATGGCGGAGGTCGCAGCCTCCATCCTGTGATTCAAGCTGTCGATCTCGGTCTTCGCTTTGGACGGTGAGCAGTTCGGGTAGAGCGATGTCTTGGCGCGCTCGTGGTAGTCGGGCAACTTGGACGGGTCGTCGGTCGAGAGCCCATCATACCACTTGCCTGAGGCGCACCCCCAGACGAACTCTCGAGCGAGCTTGGCGGCAGCATTCGCGAACTTATCAACGTGCGCAGTGCAGTCTAGCTCCTTAGCCTGCGCTGCCATGTCATTCACCTCGTCGCACCAGCGCCCGAAGAACGCAGGAAAGATGTCATCCTTCGCCTTGGGATGTCTCCGACTAGACGCGCTTCCACGTCCAACTGGCAACACTGAGCGCTCTGCTCTTGAGCAGACCCCCTCGCGCCCGATCTACATTATCCTACTCCTTCCTCAGAATCCCCCCTCATCTTCCCTCCTGCTGGTCCCCCGCATGTCGTCATTACTACCCCTCGTATCTTGACCATTCCGCCCTTTCTCCGACTCCTCCTCCCTCATCTCCCCTAATTCTCCTTCCTACACCCTCTCCCTCTGGAGCCCTGGGTAAACTGCAGCGTTGCACAAGTTGGATTGGAATACATCCAGCACGAAACACCCTCCACCTGAAGCATGGCCTCCTTCGCCGCCACGAAGCGCTTGAGGGCCACGGAGCTCTTGTCGGCCATGATGCGCTTTTCGGCGTCGTCGCCGAGCTTCATGTAGTTGTACACGTTGGTGAAGTCCCACTGCAGGCCGCTCAGCGTATTCAAGGCCGTCTTGGTCGCTACCATGTCGTGGCGCACTTCACCCACGACGTCCAGCAGGATCGAGCAGAGCTGGCACTGGCTCATCATGAAACTGCAGGTGCCCTCCAAGAGGTTGTAGTCCTCGTCCTTGCCCATGTGCAGCATGGTGTTACCCAGGAAGGCGTAGATCGCGTCCTCGACGCGCTGGTTCTTCGTCGTCACGCCGAAGTCGATGTAGGTCTTGGCCATCCCGACCAGGCTGCTTACAGCCCCCTGGCGGGCGTCGCGAGGGGCCGTGAAGCTGAACGAGCCCATGGCGTCGCAGAAGCTGGTGGTATGGCTGTCCACCGTCTGTCTCTTAGAAGCGGCCTCTACGAAAGCGTTGAGCTCGTCGGCGAAGGGGATATCGAACTTGGCATCCTTACACGTCGTGAGCAGCTCCCTCAAGTTGGCTGCCATATTCTGTGGAAGCGTATTCTTCTTGACGGAGTCGAGCGCATCTGTCAGCACTGCCATGGTAGAGGTCTCGAGGCAGTCTGACATGCTTTTGAGTTGGGCACTGCGTATCTTATTCTCCGCTCCGAGCTTCGTCTTCCAAGCATTCAGCACGATGAGGCTGTTGTCCTGGAACCCTCGGGTGATCTCGAGCTCCGTCAGCTGCTTCTGGCTCTCAGCCAAGCGGGGCATGATATCATCATAGTGGGGCTTGCAACGCATGTATTCCGCAAGGAGGGTCTTGTAGTGGCCGTTCTGCTTCATCGTTGCGATGACGCTGAGTTCGCCTGGCTGCAGGTTCGCAGAGGCCGCTTGAAGCTTGTCGAAGTCTTTGTTGGTGGCCTGGAGCTCGCGCTGCTGTTCAATGTCAGGCTGTATGACCACCGCGATGCCACGGAGCATCGAGAGCATGGTGTCCCCCGACTCCTCGTAGGGCTCGAAGTCGAGGTTCTCCTCGTCGCTGGCCTGCGAGATCATAGTGATGATGTTCCTGATCACCCTCAGCAAGCAGTCGAAGCTGCTGGCACCGTCCTTGAGGAGCGGTATGATCACCTTCTTCAGCACCGTATCCATCATCGTAGCCATGAGGTCCTTCGGCGAGCCATCCATGTGGCGCACACGAGGCTGCAAGGGGTCAAACGTCGCCTCCTCCCCAGGTTTCGGCCACGCCTGGACCATGTCGAGCAGGCTGGCCACACGGGTCTCCAGACTCTCTGTCGTGTTCTGCGACCAGTCCGCGATAGCACGTGCCGCGCAGTCGTTCTTGGCCTTGGTGGGGAAGTCGATGCCCTTCTCCTTGAGCTTGAAGAGCAACTCGTCGAGCGCGGGCCTCGCCATCGTGAACCAGGCATTCTCGGATATGAGCTTCTCGATCTCCTGGTTGAGATCGGCGTGCTCCCTCATGCTGTCGCCCTCGCTCCGCCCCATCTGGTCCGCTTCGGTTGCGTAGAGCCTCAGAGTGTTCCTTTGCCTTCCAAGAGCCTTGCTGCCTGTCAGGGCCAACGAGTGGGATACCTTGTGGACCTGGAGCTGCCACTTCGCCTTGACGGGGTCCGTCTGCATGAGCTCGGCGAGGTCCACGCTGAGACCGATGTCGTCGCCCGCCACCGAGACCGCTGCGCCCCCAGCAGGCTGCTGAGGGCTCTGCTGGTTGCTCCGACGGTCGTCGGACATGGCACCCTTCGCACTCGGGCTGCCGCGAGGCGATGCCATTGGAGATGACGCGGCAGCTGCTGGAGCTGACCCAGTCGACCCACGCATGGCTTCCTCTGGGAAGTCGGCGTCTCCCGCGAAAATGGAACCCTCTTCCTGATTGGGAGATTCGATCACATCTATACTTATACCTTCCTGACCCCCCCCCCTTCCCTGACACGAGGCCCAGGCGGTCCGGAATAACTGATGGGGGTCGGTGGCATCCTCAGATGGGCATTGATGTGATTCGGATCCCCCGCTCCTCGAGTAACCGCTGTTTCTCTTCTGCCATCTGCTTCTTCCTGGCGGCCCTCTCGAAAAGGGTGGCGAGCGAGATGATCGGCGCACCGCTGGGGCAGTACTCGGCCTTCAAGCCGCTCACGGACTGAGCGTACATCTTGGCGGGCTGCTCCATGTGGATGGTGGCGGAGCTGCGAGACTTCGACTCCGTTTTCTGAACGGTCTTCGTGCACGAGATCACGAAAACACGGGGCGCACCTTCTGTCTCTTCCGTCAAGACGCCTAAGACCTCCTGGCCTCCCTCAGTCCATAACTTCTGGCACTTGTGCTGCAGCTGCTCAGGCATGTACCCCACCTTCTCCCAGATGTCGCTCCTCGTGTAGAAGCCGACGCGCCTCTCGCAAGACGCGGCCTGGGCAGTGTCCACGTGGACGTCGGTATCAGGAAACTTGGAAGGGTACACGTCCTGTTCCACTCGGTGCTCGTGAGCTGCGTCGAAGCATTTGGCAAACCCCTCGTCAGTCTCGGTGAGCTTGGCAACCTCCTCGTCCGTCAAGTAGGCGTAGCCGATGGAGTAGGTGTCAAAGTGATCCCCGCACATGATCTGGAACCGCTTCTTCTCAGCGGCCGTCAATTTTTTCGAACACGAGTTGATGGCGCAGACCGTTCTCTGTGCCCTTGCTACTTTTGCCTGGCGGTCCGTGACCTCCTTCAGCTTCTGTTCAACAGCTCGCTTGCTTCCTGCAGTCTTGGCGGAGGCCCCGCCCAGCGATATGGCGGTGCCCCCGCTGGCAACGCTCTGGTTCGATGGCGCAGGAGCGTCAGCGGCCCCGCCGTCGCCGCCCATGCCGAGCGATTTCTGGATCACCTTGCGAGCCTTTCTCGCGGCCTCGCCCATCCGTAAGCTGGCGGGAGCAGGTCTGCAAGCTCTCGGGCACAGCGAGCACTGCAACTCGCGGAATGACGATTGCAAGGGATGGTTGAGCCAAAACAGGCTGCGATGTAGGAGGAGAGGAGGGCGTTAAGTTTTGCCTGGCAGGGGTCCACAAGGGGGAACTTACGGGGTCCGCTTGTGTTCGGGAGCCTGGCGGTCGTATCCCTCCCCCTCCTCTTTTGTCATCCCTCCTGCTACCTTCTCTTCCTCCCTCATCGGGCATCCCTCCTCCCATCGCGGGCACTCGTCTCCACCTGCCCCCGAGGCTCCATGCTGGCCCCTCGTAGGCTAAGACAGTAATCGCTGGATCTGAGGGAAGCAACCGTGGGCGAAGGCACGCAGCAAGTCAAATCCACAGCCGCGTGCACATTTATCATGAGACGGAAGGGGGACTTAGAGTCTTTCGGCAAGACCCTTTGTGATGTCACGATCCGCCCCCTGCCTGTGTTAGGTGCGCTTGGAACCAGGGGAGTCGAAGGCACTTGATTGGGCGCCGCGACGTCCTTGCCGCACCTCCCCTCCTTCCCCTCAGCCCCGATGCAGAACGTTAGCGTGCCTCTAGGCAGGGACAGTCGAGGAAGTGGAGGAGGGCGATGCTGCGGAGTGGGATGGCAAGGATCGTGATGAGGATGGCACGGATGAGGTCCACGAGGATAGAGATGGTGAGAACCAGGCAGGGAAGGTGAATGATGGCCAAACCCCAATCATAGGAAACGAGCTTCCAAGACTACCCTAATTGTTCTTAAGGCGTACATTGACCATGATCCTTGTTTGTTGCGCCGTAGCCGATACTTCCTCATACCACCCCTCCCCCATTCCTCTCGCCTCCTCGCCTTTACCCGCATCCCCCAAGCCCTCGTTTATGATCTGCATCTGTCACATCGTTCCCCCCCCCCCCATCATCCTCGCCCTTCCACTCCGCCCAGTCATATGATGAATGACGCATGTTTGCTCGACCCCCCTTGCCAAACGCGCGCTTGGGAGGCTGGGGAGACTTAGTCATGCATTGACGTCCTGGTCGCCCCCCTAGGTGTTACCATTCGGCCCCCCCCGTGAACCTCGCCAAGCCCCCTCGGCGACCTCGCGAAGGATGCGGGCCGTCTCGGTGCCCTGTCAGGGGAATCGACAACACTTGGCCCTTCGCTGGAAGGAAAGGAGAACATCTCGCGGTCACACTCCTGTTCCCGAACGGCCCCGGTTTCTGGAACCCGAGGTGTCTAACTCGATGAAACTTCGCAGATTCATTCTCACGTCTAGGCGCCCTCTCGAAGAGGTGACTGTGTGAGCTCCCCCTATAGGCCTCGCCAATTTGCTCGAGGCTCGATTCGAGGCTCGAGGCCCAGGAGGCCCGGAAGACAAACTAAGGACATTGGGGAAGAGGAGTGAGGATTGTGGATAGTCTTATCCATCCTTCCCCACCTTCATCCTACACTTCCTCTCGAAGTCCCCCTGGGGAGGTGGCGGAACAGGGTGCTTTTCTCCCATCAAGTTTGGCACCCGCCTCCGCTCTGCGCTTCTTTTCGGGCAAGGGCCTTCGTTATTCTTGCCCGTGGGTCGTGGCAGCCTTCACGATAGCACCCGTGGTGGTATCCGCAGGATAACTATATACATACGCACACATCTACAATGCATGACGGGTCGATACGTGCGATCGCAATGCAGTCGACTATAGAAGCCAGGAGGGCAGGGCCGCTCCGCTTCACCCAGTCTGAAATCTGATTCCTCCTTCTCCTCCCAAATGCTCTGCTCTATCATCCTCCTCCTTCTGCCTCATTGTCACATTTCTTATTCAGTCCCTCCTCCACCCTCCCCCCGCTCCTTTTATTGCGCCCCCCCCCTCTCTTCAGAAAGCAGAGGGCGGGCGCTGGCGGCCCGCCTGCACCAGCGAGCGCCCAGTCGACGCCGACCCAACAGCAGCGTTAGCGGGCGGGCAGAGGAGGCAGCAAAGACACGTGTTGCAGGAGAGTCGTCAAGCCACGGTGAGTGCGATGACGCAGGAATGCGACCCAGAACATTCGCAGGATGAGGAGGGCGAGGACGACGAGGATGGCGAAGGTGGGGGAAGGGAATACGACGTAACAGACAGAGGGAGAGAGTCGACGACGAAAGACAGCGGAGGATCGGGGAGACGGACAAGAGACGGACAAGTAGGACATGCCAAACGGAGGGCGAACACGGGATATGACCATGAGGCCAAGTAGGCGAAGAGGAGAGGATGAGCATGAGCAAATAGAGGAGGTCAGGAGGACACACTGTATCTCCTCACGCTGCAGAGCGCACCATTGTTACGACAGAGTTCCCCTGGGACCCAGGGCCGCTAAAACCTAGCTGGCACCTTTGAGATGGCCTCCACGCGCAACGCTTCAAACGCAAAAAACTCGCATGTGGTCATAGGCGTTGCGACTCAGACAGGGGATCGATTGGAAGTCCTCCTGGTCCTCCTCCTCCTCCTCCTCCTCCTCCTCTAAACCTCATCCTCGATATCATCCTCATCCTTCTCACCGTCTATTTCCTCATAATAACCCCTTGCGACCACAGTTAGATTCATCATCATGCACCTCACCCTACATATCCCGTGTCATCGTGCCCCTCCTGTCTATCTTAAAGTATTGTTGATCACTTCTGAAATTGGCGGGCCTTGACACTTGCGCTCGTAAGCTAGTGGCCAAGCATGGCCATCGGGTTTTAAACGCGACTCCTGGCTCGGGAAACCTAGCATCTGACGGTCATACGAGGCGCCGTCTTCGTAGTCTAAATGCTCGCTACCAGATGGAAGATCACGCCTCAACGTCCAAGTGCGAGGTTTCTTGGGCTGCGGTGGCTCTGCAAGCATACCTGGGGCGTTCACTGAGGTCTTCGACGGCGTCTCCAACGCCGCCTCGGCGCACGGAGTCTTGGGCGGCGTTTCCCCTGGCACGGAAGTCATTGCCCCAGGTGCGCCAATGAAATCTGCAAGAGCCTTGCGCTTAGGAGGGCTCTCTTCGACGAGGAACACTTCTGAATCGCCCTGGGGCGCTGCACGAGCTACTGGGCGCGATGGCCCAGGGGGCGTGCCTGTCAGCAGCAAATCCGCGGCCTTTGCCGCGGCGTGCTGGACAGACTGCTCTTGGCCAAGGGCCGCGGGGGGCGTTCCCATGTCTTCACGGGCGCCGCCCGCGGTGTCCTCAGTGGTACGGGGAGGGGCCTCATCCCAAAATTGAGAACGGGGTTCAGACTCCAGGTCCAAGCTAGCCTCCTCGCGCAAGGTCGGGCTAGGCGGCACAATACCACATTCGGCGGCGCACATCAGTTGGTCCATGCGCTTGCCCGAGTCGCAGTGAAAGTCGCTCGGGTAGTATTTCTGGACGCATCCATTGTCCTGCCCCTCGGTCGGGGCGTCGTCGAGGGGGCCTGGCACGGCGCACGGCTTGGCAGCCCCACTTGCAGCCTCCTGCGCTTCCTCGGGGGCCTGAACTGGCGGATCCTCCCTCGCACCGATGATGAGCACCGTCGCGGGGACCATGGCTTCGATCCGCTTCTCGAAGCATTTCGGGAGGGCTGGGTCTGTGATCACAACGTTAAGGCTCCCTTCAAGGTGCCATTGCATGGTCAAAAACACAAAGTGGTGCCGATAGGACTACGCCTGCTCTTTCCCCCGAGCAAGGCTTGAGCCCCACAGCTGCAAACGCAGTGCTACTGTGCTGTATGCTGCATGCTACGCGTGCCCGAGAGAACATAATACAACGGGTAAACAATACTCGATGGCGTGCAACCCAATCTGTAATGTTGAGGCGTGCGGGTACGATTAATCCACTAGTGATGTTGGCCG